ACAGAATGTCAGAACTGTACCTAAGCACAGAGTGTTGGGCTGTCTCAGTGGGCCACTCAGGGAAAGGGTGTGAAAACAGGAGAGGACAAGGAATGTCCCTCAAAACTCAGGTGACCGGCTGCCTCTTACATGCAGACTTTCTTGATCTCTCCGGCTACAAGTGGATAAGCTCTTATAGATATTGTTCATCCAATTGCAGGCTAGAGAATAGGCATTCTTTGTCCACTTGGATTTCCCTATGTAGATAGGATAAATTCTCTGGAGAGATTACAGATCTCTTCCAGGAGTCTGTACAGTGTTCTGGGGCTTGATGCAATCAGCACAATGTCATCCACCTAGAGGAACATCTGGAGAACTTCACCATCTATAAGGAATCTCTCTTCAATTTGGATATATCTCCCTCATGACAGTAGCAAACATCTTTGACAAATATAGCTCTCTTTATTTCATGTCTCAGTTGATATCAATGATCAGAGTGGTAAAGCACAAGACTGTTACATCTTGTAAAGCATCTTGCCTAATTTTGAAATGTGTGTAGAAGATACCTCTTTGAAGTCTTCAAGGTAGTATTTTAATTGCCTTGTTTAGTCAACTAACAGTAGTCATAGTGAGATCCTGAGCTTTTGATACCTTTCAGTTAATTGTATGATGGTAAATATGTGATCTGTCATGGAATATTACCTAACTATTCTCTTCTAATCCTCTCTTCAGGCTCTGCAGTACCATTGAGTGCTTCTGGTTTCCAGCTTTGAGAGAGACAGGATGAGCAATGCCAAATGCACCTCTGGTTGCCAGAGGGAGAATTAGACTGGGAAGAAGGTGACATGGGAAGAACTGTCATTCTCCATCATGTCCCTCCTCTCCTCAACTTGCTATACTAGAGACTGGAGAATTTACCCTTGGATGAAATCTAGGCATCTCTCTCTCAGTTGAGTGAGTGACCTCACTCCAAATGGAAGAGTTCTTCCACTCTGTATTGTCCAGATTATATTCCTCTCTATACTTTCTCTGACATCTGTTTTGCTATCAACCTGGATAAATGGGTTCATTTGCTACTTGTTCTGTGTGTTCATTGTGGAACTGGGAAGGGTGGTGGGAAGGGATTCAGGTCTTGGATGAAAGGCATGGGCTCCTACTTCCCCCAATAATAAACAGCAATCAGAATTTTGGCCTGAACTGGAAAACTACATCACCTAGATTAATATAATATAATATGATATAACATAATATGAGTATAATAATATAAGGGAGTGGATAGATGTAATTCTAGCTCAGTACCCCTTCTCTCTAAGGAAAGCAAGAGCGACCAAGCTTGTGGTCCCAATCTCCTGATTCACCTGGTAGGAAATAAAGTCTACTTTGGAGAACAGTGCAGGGAGAGAGGCTAGAGATGTCTGGAGCCTCATGGTGGGAGACAGCCTCATTGAACCTGTACAATGAAGTTAGGTTTAGACTCCAAGGTCTTTTCCAGCTCTGGGTCTAGGGTCCTTTCCAGCCTTTCTACTTGTTGGATAGTGGACAAGGACCTCAGATTGTGATCATCATCTGTTATGGTAACACTTGAAGTCATGCCAAAGACTGGCCTCTTCCTGGCTCCCTCTGCCTCTTTTTCCACCACCCTGACACCATTCCTGAAGAAGCAGAAAATGCCACAGAGGATGTTCTATTGTCATTTGTTTCTTGGGCTGCCACAACCAAAGAATTGATTACCAAGTGACCAGGCTGCCACAGGGATGAGTTTCTCTGTCCTTTGCTAGGTTGGTATCAATTTGGGCATTTGAAGCCACAGGTCCAGTCCAATCTTTCTCTGTCAAACCCCCAATGGAGAGATCAATCCTTTTGTTCCCTCCAGTAGTGACAACAATCCTTCTGCCCCCTCTCCCACAGAGTTGTTGCAGAAAAAAGTGCTCTGTAAAGCTTAAAGGGCAGGAGGCCTGGGAGCTGGCAGTAAATGCCCAAGGCATTCAGGACAGGGGGAGCAGTCCAGAAGGAGGTGGCCTTGAACTGGTACTAGAAGGAAAGGGAGGACCTGGTTGAAGAAAGAGAGGTAGAGATGAGCAAAGGTGTGGAGGGAGAGAGAAACTCACTTCATGGACATGAGGAGGAGCAAAGGAAGATTAGGCTGGAAAAAGGAGGTTAGTTCCCAGAGTCAAGAATTCTTTCAATCCATGCTTAGGGCTATAGGCAGGGGACTAAGTGAAATGGGAGGGGGGACATTGACCAATAAAACAGAGTAAGACCCAGGCTTTGCCTTCAGGGAGCGCCTGTGGGGTAGATAAGACACAGACACACAGAACTATAATTTGGATTCCAAAGGATCATGAGATGGGATCCAAATGCCTGCAGTGTTAGAAAAAAGAAATAGTTTCTGACTGGGTGAGTCAGGGGGGGCTTCCTGTAGGGCATGATCCCTGTACTTACTGATCATAGGCTTTAGAGCTGGATAGGATCTTAAGATCATAGGTCTTGGGCCAGATGGGGTGACAGAGGTTCTCTAATTCAACTCCCTCATTTTACAGAGGAGGGAAACTGAGGCCCAAAGAGGTGGCAGTAACTTGCCTGAGATCACACAGTTAGCAAATGGCAGAGCCAGGATTCAAACCCAGATCCCCTTACCCCAAATGCAGTCTCCTTCCACTCTGACATTCTGCTCTTCATATTTTAGAGCTCATCTAGTCAAGTTATTTTACAGATGAAGAAACTGAGGCCCAGAGAGTATGTAAGATTACACAGGTAATGAATGACAAAGTCAGGATTTGAATATCTCAGTTCTTTTGTTGCCAACCTTGCACTATGTCCATAACACCACTGTGATCATTGAGTCCAGGGGCTTCTTGTTCAGCCACTTAAAAAAATGTCATGGACCCCTTGGGCATGCTGTCCAGTGAAGCCTATGATCCCCTCCTCAGAAGAATGGTTTTAAAAAATATTCACAATAGAAAGAAATGCTGGATTTCATTTAGAGGCTGATGAAAATAAACATGTATTTTTTCCCTTCTAAGTTTATGGAGTCCCTGAAATCTATTCGCAGGCTCCTTAAGAAGCTTTGATCTCAACTGATTCCTTTATTTCATAGATGAGGAGACCCAAGGCCCAGGGAGGGGAAGAACCTTGCCCAGGGTCTCACAGATGCCAAGTAGCAGAGCCAAAACATAAATGTGGGCTCTCTGCTTCCAAATCTTTTAATTTCTCCAAATTATTTCAAAAAGTGAAAAGGGAAAGGGAAGACTTTCTAAGTGTTGGGGACATCAAAGACACAGAGCCTGGAGGGCTTGGGCCAGGGCCATCCTGAGTTATCCATGGCCATCTTAGTTTGGGGTATGTAGAGTCAGACCCTGGAGGTTTAAAGGGTGGTCCTCAGGGCTCATCTAGTCCAATCCCCCCATTTCAGAGTCAGACACTGACACCGAGAGAAGGAAAGGGATGGGGCAAGGTCTCACAGTGAGCTGAAGAGTTGAATGTAGACTATATGGAGGACTAGAGAGGGGAATGCAGCGAGACTCCCACTGGGCTTGTGCACAGCTCACAATCCCCTTGCCATCTCCACCCTGACCCCACATTAGTCCCAGCAGTTCAGGAGTCTGGATCACAGGCTTATTCCCTGCCATGCTGAAAAGTCAACCAGGCAAGGACGTCTTTGTGTAGGAGATGGGCTTGAGGTGGACTTGGAAGAAGAATCTCAGCCTGAACTGGGATCCCAAGGGCAGGGATACTCCTTTCTGTAGCTGGTGGCCTGGAGAGACCATTGAATCACAGGTTTAGAAAGGCCCTTATTTGACAGATGAGGAAAATGAAGGTTAGAGAGGGGAAGTCACATGGTTAGTATGTGGAAGAAGTGGAACATGAACTTGGATCTTCTGACTCTTGGTCCAATGTGTCTTGTGTTTGGATGTGAGAGAAGTCAGGCAGAGATCAGCTTGGTGGGCTTCAAAAGAAACCAGAATCCAGACTTAAAAGTGATAATTTCTGGGGGCAGCTAGGTGGCACAGTGGATAGAGCACCGACCCTGAAGTCAGGAGGACCTGAGTTCAAATCCAGCCTCAGACCAATCACTTGACACTTACTAGCTGTGTGACCCTGGGAAAGTCACTTAACCCCAATTGCCTAAAAAAAAAAGTGATAATTTCCCATCCTTTCAAAATGAAACTAGACAATTTCTAGACAGATAGAAACTAGACAGATATAGAAAAAGAACCAGTCTTCTCCCTCTCCCAATTTTAAAACATTTTTATTTAAAATTTTGAGTTCCAAATTCTATCCCTCTCCCATGCTCTCCCTTCCCCTCCCCCCCTTCCCTGAGGCAGTAAGCAATCAGAATAGGTTATATATGTGCAATTATGTAAAACATTTTCATATTAGTCATTTTGTACTAGAAGACTCGAATAAAAGAAAAAAAATGAAAGAAAGTGACAAATAGCACGTTTCAGTCTACATTCAATCAATATTAATTCTTTCTCTGGAGGCAGATAATATGCTTCACCATTAGTCCTTTGGAATTATCTTGGATCATTGTATTGCTGAGAAGAGCTAAGTCATTCATAGTTCTTCACTGAACAATATTGCTGTTACTATGTACAACATTTTCCTGGTTCTGTTCACTTCATTATGCATCAGTTCATGTAAGTCTTTCCAGGTTTTTCTGAAATCATCCTGCTTGTCATTTCTTACAGCACAATAATATTCCATTACAATCACATGCCACAGCTTGTTTAGCCATTCCCCAATTGGTGGGCATCCATTTGATTTCCAGTTCTTAGCCACCACAAAAAGAGCTGCTATAAATATTTTTGTACAAATAGGTCCTTTTCCCTTTTTTGGATGTCTTTGGGATATAGGCTTAGCAGTGGTATTGCTGGATCAAAAGGCATGCACAGTTTCATAACCCTTTGAGCATAGTTCCAAATCACTCTCCAGAATGGTTGGATTAGTTTACAACTCCACCGACAATGCATTAGTGTCCCAGTTTTCCCACATCCCCTCCGACATCCAACATTTTCCTTTTTTGTCATATTAGCCACTCTGATAGATGTGAGGTGGTACCAAAAGAGACAGTTTTAAAAGAAATCAGACTGTGGCTCTGACAAAGAAATAAGACAATGGGTTTGCAAAAAGAAATCCAGACGCAGCCTGTTTAGGGCCACAGGGGTAGAGCATGGAGACATGGCATGATGGAGTCTGCCTCCTGCTGCCTTCCTGGTGTTTGTGGCTTCCAGCCTTCCCTTCCCAGCTCCACATGACTTTGGGGAAGTCTCTGGTCCTGCAGGACCTAGGCTCTCCTGTCACCAGTCACAGTGGCCAGCAGAAACTCATTTGGGCTGAACACCGCCGTTTGGAGCAGTTCTGTGGTGCTAGGGAGGCCAACTGTGAGACGACCCCTTCACTTCAGAGGTGTCCTCTCATGTTTCTAGCAGCTCTTCTTTTGCTCTAGTGATCACCAGGATTGTGTGGGGTTTCGTACTATTCAGCTGGTCTCCTGTCTCAGTGGTACAGTCCAGGGAAGCCAAGGCAGCCAGATTGGGAAGGGTTGGAAGAGATCGGTGGGATCTCCATTCCTGTCCTGTCCACTGGGCAATGCATCCCCAAGCAAAAGGGGTGGGTTTGACCAGGCAGAATCCAGCCTAAGGTCCCTCAGCTCTCTTCCGTCCCTCGACTCCCACCAGCATTGCCACCTCCAGGTTTCAGTTTCTCCAGGGTCCGGCTCACAGTGGAGAGACTGTTAGGTATATGACTCCTTATTCCTTGGGGGAGGGGAGAAAACAAGAGTATTGTTAAAGACAGAAGACAGACTCTGGGGGGATGATGGAAGGAGAGATATCCTGGTTATGCTGAGTGGATTCTGGGACGTCCCTGTTTCAGAGCCATGGGGATGGACTTTAGGGTGAAGAGAGGAAGTGGAGTTAGCATTTAATCCTTAAGGAGGCAGGGCTCGGTGAGGGCAGGAGGTCTACAGATGTCCCCCACCTCCAAAATACCTTGTATTTATTTGGGATTTATCTGGAATGCACAGATATGTGCACATGTCATCTTTTCCTCACATCTAATAGAATATAAGTTCCTTGAAGGCAAAGATGATTTAATTTTTGACTAGCAGAGTGCCTGTAGGTGCTTAAGAAATGCTAGTTAGTGGTTAGCTGGTTGATTAACTATAGGAGGGAGGGTAGGAGGAGGCAGAATCTTGGAATCTCAGTTAGAGGAGATGTTAGAGGCATCTAGTCTGACCTGTACCTGCTCAAGAGGTCCCCCTCACAACATCCCTGACAAGGGGCCAGTCTGTCTCCACTTGGAATCTTCTGGCAGTGGGTCCCCTCTATGATGGGGGCTGGGACCAGGTGGAAGGCTAGTTAGACAGGCAGACAGTGGGATCCTCACACTTACCTTCATTCTTCCCTCCACCACTGGAAGCCCCTTCCTCTCCACTGTTCCCAGGCTGGGGCTGGATCCTTAGATTCCCTGCAGGGGGAGATGTGATTTCAGTTTGGATAAGACAGCTTGTCCACTGATTCCCTGCCCTCGGTCCCCCAGTTCCATGGTCCTGATTGAGAGGAGGCAGTTCTTCATATCTGACTTCCACCCTTCCTGTTGTCTCTTCTGGTTTGCTGTCCTCTAACTTGACCTCTCTTTGGATCGCAGTTGTTCATGCTTCCCTACAGGCGGCTGGATGTATATTTTGTGTTGACTTCTCTGTGTATGTATTGAATCCCTCCCCCACCAGAACAGAAGCTCTTGACAGCAGGTTTTGGCTTTGTCTTCGTCCCCAACACATAGTAGAGGGCTGGACATATTTTGAGGGTCTAGATTTGTGATTTCATCGGGGACAAAACTCCCAAATTAGCCTCTTTCCCTGCATCTCATGATCTTGAAAGTTGCCTGGGACCATTGAGAGTTTAAACGACCTGATCAGGGTCGTTCTGCCAGTATATTTCAGGGATGAGACTTGAATCTTCATCTTTCCAACTACGAGGCTGGTTCTCTCTTCACTACCCCCACAACGCCCTCCACCTGGTGACCTGCTGGCACCCCCAGTCCTTAGCATAGTGCCTGGCATTCATAAATGTATATTGACTGAATGGCACATGATAGGCATCATAAGTAGGTAGAACTGTGGACAGAGTGCTGGACCTGGAGTCAGGAAGACTGGAGTTCAAATTCAGCATTAGACACTTCCTAGCTATGTGACCCTGCATGAGTCACTTAACTTATGTCTGCCTCAGTTTCCTCATGTGTAAAAATGAACATTTTTCCTAGGGTTGCTATGAAAATAAAATGAGCTATTATTTGTAAAACACTTTGCAAACTTTAATGTGCTGCATAAATGCTAGCTTTTTATTTGATATTTTTGGTCCTCTCCAGTTTTCTTGTGGAGAGGTGGGGAGGGATCAAGGAAGTGAGAGATGGGCACCTGAATGGAGGATCTGAGACTAGGAGAAGCTGGGCTGGGCTGGAAGTGTGTGTGTCGAGGAGGGGGGAGGGGAATGGTTTTTTCTAAATCTAAGAGTGTCTCTAGCAGGATGTGAGTCCTCGAAGTCATCGCTGTTGTCATAGCAACATCTAAACACATCTGTGAAGGCTTGAAACCTACACAGATGCAAACACACAGGCGGCCTCAGCACACACACACACACACACACACACACACACACACACACACACACACACACTTTCTGTCAATAAAAAGCTCCTAAGAGCTCGGTCCTCGATGAAGTCAGGGCTACAGGTAGTATGGTATCTCTTTTGCAGATGAAACAACTGAGTCTCTGGGGTCTCAGGGACATCCCCAGTGGGTGATTACCCATTTAGGAAATGCTGGAGTTGGGTTTCAAACCCAGGCTCCTGGCTTGGGGTCAGGTACTCTAACTACCACTGCTACCTCCCAGTCACACACTCTCATACAATCGCCCAGAGTGTCACATATCAGCACATGCCCCATCTCCCTTCTCCCCTCCCCCAGTCACCAGGTGGTCAGGTCACACTTACCCAGGGAAGGCAGGAATCGATCCAGGTTGAACCGAGAGTTCAGAAAGGGATAAGCCAGGATGAAGAGCCCTAGGCATGAAGGAGAGGAGTGAGACCCTATGAGCCGCTAGGATTCCACTTCACCCTCTGCTCCTATTCTGAACCATCTCTGTGGGGCAGACTCACAGGATAATCAGAAATCATACATCTAGAGTTGGCCACTGAGTCCAAACGCTTCATTTTACAGATGAGGAAACAGGCCCAGAGAAGTTATGTGATCTGCCCAAGGTCACAGAGGTTGCCAGGTTAGCAGTCAGAATGTAAATCCAGGTCTTCTGACTCTAAAGCAAAGGAGTATGTGGACTGGGGGTTCTGGGGAGTCAAGGAGAAGACAGAGACTCAGGATTTGGAGGTTTGGAGAAGGATTCAGGTGTCCAAGACGGGCAAACAGTTGGACAATATGAGTCCTGAGGAGAATGGAAGTGGAAGGCAGAGAATTCAAGACCCTCCTGCCTGTGAGGTCAGGGTGCCCCTCATATACCACCTACCCTACCTTAGCACCCTGCTCTCTGTCTCTGAGCCCTCTGCCTTCCACAAGCCTGGATCAGGTTCTTCCTCCTTCAGAATTCCCTGCTGATGGCTCTGGGCTCCACAGTCCTGACTTGGAAGCTCACACTCTAACAGCGGATTTTGTAAATTTAGAAATTATTTATGAAGCCCTTAACTTTAAGCAACAGCAAGATGCTGATACCATAGTCTAAGCAAATAAATGGAGCCCCCACAACTCCCTGGATATTCCTTGTCAGGGATCTCCCTCTCTGACCACCCTGAGAGTGTTGGCTTGGGTTATAGAGGGTCAGAATTGGAAGAAGTCTTTGAGACCATTGAGTCTGCCCCTGTGGCTTTACGGAGGGGAACCCAAAACCCCAGGGGGAGGCAGACATTGGATCTCCTCCTCCTCCCATGTCTCTCCCAGTGCAGAGCTTGGCACACGTCTGGGCACACAGGCAGCTGGGGGAAGGTGTGTAAAGATTTGCTGACAGATGGATGGGTTGCCATATTCCCTATGATTGTCAGGAGGGAGGGTCTCCAAAGCCTCCCAGGGCAAAGCTCTCACCCTGACCTTGGGGGGTGGCCAGATCTGGGGCTGGGGCCAGGTCTGGGGTTTCTGTCTGTGTCACCAAACACAAAGGTTTCCAATGAGGCACTATCAGTGCTGAGTTTTGTGTCCAGGTCTGGGACCCCATTTTAGGAAGGACATTGGCAGGCTGGACCTTGTCCAGTAGGGTGGGATGGATGGTAAAGGTCCTTTAGTACAAGCCAAAAGAAGATGATATGAAGGGACCGGAGGTGTTTGGGCTGGAGAAGAGAAGGCTTGAGATGAGGACAACATGAGAGCTGTGTCCAGTTATCTGAAGGCTGTCATTTGGAAGATAGATGAGGCTCACTGGGCTTGGTCCCAAAGGACAACACTAGGAATAGTGGAGGGAAGTTACAGAGAGGCCAGCTTCATCTCGACGTCAGGAAGAACTCCCCAGGAGTTTGAGCTGTCCCAGAATACAGTGGGCTGTCTGGGAGGTAGTGAGCCTTCTGGCCTTGAAGGTGTGCAAATATAGGATCTTGATTAAGTAAACTGCACAGAGCATTCTGACCCTAGGAGATTGGGGTGAGGTGCCTCAGGGCTCCCTTCTGGCTTTAGGGAGACCATAAATGAAGTCTTCTTGATGGACGGTAAGGAGGAGTTTGGGGCTCTGCCATGGATCCTTTCCTCAGGCCGTGGAGCTTCAGTGGGTGCTAAGTCCCATCATGGCCCCTGCAGGATGGCAGCTTCCCTCCCTGGGCCCCTTAGCCTGAGGCTCAGCACCTGAGAGATGGAGGCTGAGATAAGGTGAGGTAAACTTGAGATGGGCTATTCTATTTCCTTCTGGGTCAGGAGAATGAGGCCACTATGATATTCAACACTAGTGAATCCAGCCCCACCCCCTGCTCCCTTCCTCTCTTCCCCCAGAGCTGGGTCACTGTGGTGGCCTGGGAGCCTGGGGACTGGATTCTACCTTCTATGCCCAGAAAATCAAGCTGTCTGGGATCCTACTGCCCTCTCTCTTCCCTGCACAAATAACGGCAAAGAGTGGGCTTCTAGGAAACCAATGGGCCTGAGGCTAGATTTGGGCAGATCTGAAACTCCAAAGCCCCTCTCACAAGTGGGTCCCTTATCTAATCTCCACTTGAAGAGCTCCAGTGATGGGGAACTCTCTACCTCCTGAGGCAGCTCACTCCACTATGAGCTAGTTCTTGTTAGGAAGTTCTTCCTGATATCTAGCTTAAAACTGCCATCTATATTTCAGTTTGTTCTCCTGGTCTCCACACCAGTTCCCTCACCATTCTAGCTGCCCTCAGACCCTTGCCCCTCAAACACTGAAGAGTATCAGGCAGCTGTTTGGGGCCGAGGAGGAAGGGAATGAATCTTTTTCCTGCCCACACACACCCTTTATACCACTGACCTCCAAGGACGGCAGGGAAGGGGGCAGGGGTTACTCTCCTGCCTTCACTGGGAGCAGCTAGTACTGTCCTAAGGTGCACTGCTGCTGGGAGGAGGAAGGTTACTAAACCTACCTTCTTCCTCATTCCTTCTCTTTAATTGAGAAGCTCTGACTCTAGGAACTGGTTCTAGCCTGGGATGGGAGGATGAGGGATGAGGGGGTGATGAGATCAGAGCTTGAATCTTCAGGGAGGATTAGACAGCCTGGTGAGTGAGGAGTAGGCACCTCATTCTGTAAAAGGTGGTGAGCTACACCTGTAGCCGGGCAGTGTGGGTGGGGATGGAGGTATATACATGGTGCAGTGAGGGGAACAGATGTCCTGCTCCCTTCCCTGTCTCTTAAGGAACTTTCCAAGATATCTTTTCCCCTGCAGGCTTTCTTCATTCTCTTCTCCCCTCCCACCCACCTGAGTCCCCTCCCCAAATTGCTGTACTGCCCACTTTGTCGGCTCACCTTGTCCCCCTCACTCCCATCCCAGGATCTCTCCACTCACCCAGGCCTGCAGCTCCAATGAAGATACCTCCCACAGCTGCCGCTGCAGATGAAACAGACACCCCAATAATGATGCTGCCCGCCAGCAGGCCCAGGGCAGCACAGGCCAACTGCAGGCATCGCAAGTCCCGGCCATTGATGGGGACATCCATGTAGGATTGGCCCAGGCCTTTTCTCTGGCCACCAGGTATGAGCACCCCCCAGGTCTCAGCTGCAGCAGTCCAGACTGTGCCTGGTCCTTAGAACCTGGGTGACTCCAGCAGCCTGGTCAGCATCCTGGCTTATCTGTAGTACTGGCTAGGCTCCATCTCAGATGCATCCCCCTCTTCCTCACCTGGGCCTTCCCAGGTGCCCAGATCCTACTTTGCCTCTAATGTCAGCCTCTCTTCTAGAAGGTTCCCTTTGGATAGGGTTGCCATCCAGGTACCACCAAGGCAGGATTTCTGCTTGGGCCTTGGAGGGTTGGGAGGACCATGTCTCATCCTGCTGCAAGCTGCCCACTGCCTACCTACTTCAGAGAGACCTCAGCAACAGCTCCTCCCTGCTACACATCTTGCATCTGCTTAATGCTCCTTCCAGGGTGGCTGTCTGGGGACCCTGTGATCCCAAATGGGATGGGAGGGGTGAAACACAGAGACCACAAGAGCTCAAGTTCTTCAGGAGATAAAGGCAAGGGTTGCATTATGAATAAGGCCAAAGCAACATGAGCTGGGGAGTGGTTTGGGATGGGCAGGGAGGGAGACAGTGCCTGGGCAGGGTAGATTGCTCTAGGAGGCTTCCATGGCGCCCTTGCTCAGACTGGGCAGTGGGGTATAGTGCAAAGGGAGGGGAAGGGGGAGGGGGGTTCAGAGAACTTAGGTTCAAATCCTGACTACCACTTCTGAGCAGTGTGACATTGGACAAAATGTCTTCCCTAGGCTGTGACCCAGTTTCCTTCTCTGTAAAAAGGGTTTGGATTCAATGATCTCTAAGAGTCCTCTCAATTCTGATATTTTTCTTGATAGATTTTGTATTCTTTATTCTCTGCTGTAAGACCCCTCCCAGCTCTGATATGCCCTATTCTAGGCTATAAATCTGCTCATCTCCAGAGCCAATCATCCCCTACTCCTAGGACTCCAGTGTCACTTGCCAATTACTTTTCTACCCAACACTCACTGTAGGTCTGCGTGGACTCTGGCAGGTGGCCAGATAGGCCACGCAGGTAGATTTGTGTGTGATGGGGGGTGGGGGTGGGAGGGGAATATGTGATAAGAATCTGCCTTCCCACGGCAAGCCTGCCCCCTCCATAGCTTCTCTCATGGATCTGTCCATTGTCCTAGGCTCCTCGGATCAGCTTTGGAGCTGGAGAGATCGCCCTCATTTTATAGAAGAGGAAACAGCAGTTCAGAGAGCGGGGAGTGCCAGGCCACATGGATATCGAGCAGCAGAGCTGGGGTCTGACCCCATCCTCATAGTCTAAACTCCACACTCTTTCCACCAGGCCTCAGAAAACCTAAACCTCTGATAATCCTGGTGACCTCTGTTTGGGGGCTGCAGCTCCTGTGTGCAGCAGGGCCTGCCTCAGTCACAGAGTCTGACAATTCAACCAGAATTTATAGAGGGGTTATTATGGGCAGGGCACAAGGTGATAAGGACACAAAGACCAAACAGTCCCTGCCCTCAAGGTTCTTACAGTCTGTCGGCAGGTTATGTTGGGTCTCTTGGGTATCACAGACATGATTGGATGAAACCTGCTTACTGTACCATATGTCTGAATGGGAATACCTTATTCAAAAGAGGCAGGAAGGGAAAAGGGGGAGGGGTGCTGTAGCATTATGTGTTAAGAAGGTATATCATAATTTCTTGCTGATGATTCTCAGATCTAGTCATCCACCTGACCCTCTCTGCTGACTTCCACACTCCTGTCTCCAACTGCCTGTTACATATCTTGAACTGCACGTTTCATAGATATCAGAAGCTCGTTATGTTCAAAACCAAATTTATGTTTCTTCCCAGACCACTCCCTTCTCCAGTCTTCTCTGTTACTAGTGAGAGTGTCAGCCTCCTCCCAGTCATGCAAGGTTCTAACCTAGGTGTCATCCTCAGCTCCTCATTCTCACCGCCTTCCCCATATCCAGCAGTCGACAAGTCCTGTTGTTTTTACGTTTGTGTCATCACTTTTACACACTCCCTTCTCTCCTCTGATGCTGGCTGTTGTCCTTCACACTCAAAGAGGACCAAAATGACATCATTATGTTGGGTTCAGTGTACAGTGCCTGACATCACCACTACCACCCTGGAGCAGGCACTCATCACCTCCCTCCTGGACTCTTGCAATGGCCTGCTTGTCAGTTCTTGCCCCAAGTCTCTCTGCCTCTCTCTCTTTCTGTCTCCATGTATTTCTTTCTGTCTCTGTCTCTGTCTCTTTGTCTCTGTCTCTTTGTCTCAGTCTCTTTGTCTCTTTCTCTTTGTCTCTATCTCTGTTTCTACCTCTGTCTTTGTCTCTGTCTTTCTGTCTCTGTCTTTGTCTCTCATTCTCCACTCAGCTGTCAAATTGGTCTTCCTAAAGTGCAAGTCTAACCATGTCACTACCCACTTCCCCCACCAAACCCCTTTTCAATAAACTCCAGTGGTTTCTCATCATCTCCAAGATAAAATACAAAATCCTCTGGCATTCAAAGCCTTTCATAGCTTGCCTTCCTCCTGCCCATCTTTCCAGTCTTCTTATACCTTATGCTCTCCTCCAAATAGTCTTCAATTTAGTGACACTGACTGTGCTATCCCTCAAACAACCCACTCCATCATGTGACTCCAAGCATATGCAAAATCTGGTGGGGGGAGGCGTAGTGGGCTGAAACTTAAATTACAATAGCATCAACAAGACAAGTCAGCAAGCATTTATTAAGCACTTACTGTGTGTTGGGCACTGTTCTAAGGGCTGGGGATATGAAAACAAGGCAAATATATGGCTCTGCCCTGAGGACTCCATAATCTAATGGCATACACATGGCCCAAGGGTATCTCTCCACCATCGGCCCTGGGAGTCCTTCTGTACCTTTGTGGAGGCCTCAAAAGGTTCCCTTTCTTTGATGGACTCCAAGAAAAAAATGCCTTCTAGAGTGCACAGCCTGCATTTCTCTGTCAGTAGGGATTGTGATCCCAGAAGCTGTCACCATCCTCAGGGGGCTGTTTTTGTACTTCTGTCTGTTGGGCTTCCTCCATCATCAGCCACCATGGCTCTGGATCATGCCGCTATAGACTCTAGTTGCCAAGGGGACCTTTGACGTATCTCCAGTCACTTGGGGCACTCCCCACTCTAAATACTCAAGATCAGGACAGAATAAACGCAAAATAAATAGAACTGTCATACACCCAGAGACACATGGTATCAAGGCACGCATGCTCACATGTATATGTTTGTGTGTGTCTGTGTGTAGTGTTGGCAGCTTTCTTCCCCTCCCCCTGCCCCAAGAAGCACCAAGCAATCCTTCTCACTTAAAAACCATCAGGGAAGAGCCTGACAACCTTGTGTGGGCACATTTAGCTCCCTCAGCCTTCTGGCTCCTCAGCCAACCAAAAAACTCTTTGTCACTACACAGTACCATCTCCTCAATAGACAGAAGGAGGCTTACCAAGTCATGCTGGATTAGAACCAGGCAGGCAATATCAGCCACGTTCAGTACAACTCACTAGGAAGAGTAAATCTGAGCCTGCTAGGTGGCAGCTAAGTGACACAGTGCCTAGAACACTGGACCTGGAGTCAGGAGCTTCAATTCAGTCACAGACACTTACTAGCTGTGTGACCCTGGGCAAGTCATTTCACCTCTATTTGCCTCAGTTTCTTCAATGGCAAAATGGGTATAATAATAACAGGATTTTTTAAAAAGGGCCAGTAATCATGTAGCTTTTTTTTTTTAAAGGCAATTGGGGTTAAGTGACTTGCCCAGCATCACACAGCTAGTAAGTGCTATGTGTCTGAGGGCAGATTTGAACTCAGGTCCTCCCGACTCCAGGGCTGGTGCTCTATTCACTGCACCACCTAGCTGCCTCAATAACAGGATTGTTGTTAGGATCAAATGAGATAATATTTGTAAAGCACTTTGCACAATGCTTGGCACACAGTAGGTGCTTAACAATGCTTGTTCCCTTCCCTTCCTTTTCTCTAAGAACTGGGCCTTCACTAGCCAGTACCTCATTAGATATGGAAACAGTAAGAGAACACTGAGCTTCCCTAGATAAATTCAAGTTCTCTGACCCAGATGGAAGGACATCCTGGGGTCCTGAGAGAATGGGCAGTTGTGATTGCTGAGCCTCCATCAATGATGTGGAAAATATAGTGGAAGACAAGAGAAATACCACAAGACTGCAGAAGGACAAACATTGTCCCAGTTTTCAATAAAGGGAAGAGAATCAAGCCTGCACATTCTAGGCCAGTGAACTTGCCTTGGGTTCCTGAGAAAAGTCTACATGAGGCAATTGAAGAGATGGTAGGTGAATAAGCAGAAAGGGAAGCAATTACCAACAGCCAGACTAGCTTGATCAAGGCTGGACAGCTCCTATCAGATTCACCACATTTCTCCCCCCCCCGCCTTTTTTTAAACAATATACTATTGAACTGGTAGATGAGAGGAATTCTGTGGATACAATTCACCTAGATTTTAGCAGAGCTTTTGATAAAGTATCCCAGGCTTTCCTTGTGGAGAAGATGGAGAGCTAAGGATTAGAGAAGTTAGATACAGAGCTGGCTGCATGGCTGGACTCAAAGAAGAGTTGTTAATAGTTCAACATCAACATGGTAGGTGGTCTCTAGTGGAGGTCCTCAAAGATCTGTGCTTGGCCCTGTGCTCATCAAATTTGCACATGACCCAAAGCTAGAAGGGACCAACACACTGGATGACAGAGTCAGGATCCAAATGGATCTTGACAGGGTAGTGAATTCAGCTTAATGTGATAAGATGAAATTAAATGGGGATAAATGTAGTCTTGAACTTGGTTACAAAAATCAAATCCACAAGTACAAGATGAGGGAGGCATGGACAGACAGTAGTTGTCCTGAAAAAGATCTAGGGGGGGAGATCTGAGGAGACCACAAG